AGCTCCAGCCACAAGGTTAGGGAAGGGGAGGCCAGGATGACATGGCCAGGGTTCTTCTGGGGTGTCTCGGTTGATCACTTCTGAGTCACTGGGACAAAACCCCTGACCCTGCTTACTAAAGGGGGTGGGGCTTATTTCAGCTCGTGTTTCTGACCCTGGTTTGGGTTCTTCCCCCTCAGGGGCTGGAGATGGAAGGGAAGGGCTTGACCCAGAGGAAGCTGCGGGCCTCAGGGCCCCAGGAAGCAGAGAGAAAGGGCGGAGCCCAGGAGGGAGAGGGACTGCCTCTCCAATGCCGCACCAAGCTCAGAGCTGAACCGAGGTTCCATCCTCCAGAAGCCCGCCTCTGAGCCCAGAGAGTTTTGGGGGCCATTTTTGATCCAAACCATCACTGATGATGGTGGAATTGGGGTGTGCGGGAGAGAATGGAGTGTGGGAAAGGATGTGCAACCTGTTCAAGATGTTTTTCCCCTTGGAGGGCAGCAGAGATGGAGCTTGAAAACTCCCAGCACGGAGGAGGGATTAGGGAAACCGCCCCTGAATTGGCCACTGCTTTTTTTTTTTTTTTTTTTTTTTTTTTTTTGAGGCTTAAATGCCCGTTTCTCTGCAGCCCTCAGTGTGGGGAGACAGGTATTCCTAGCACTTCCTGATGGGTGCAGCGTGACCAGCAGTGTCTGCTTGCCACCCATAAAAATCCAACATTCGTTGCTTAAGCAAAAAGGGACAATTACCTGGTTCAGGTAACCACACTGGGAGCAGAGACCTGAGTTCCACTGGAGCCAGTTACAAACTCTCATCCCTGTCTGTGTCCCTGAGGGCCTTGCAATCCGAAGGCTGGTGGGGGGACCGGCTTACCAGGGTCTCTGAGTCTGGGCCTCATGTCCTGGTGACCAGCTGGGGGGTCGAGACTCCCCAGTCTCCCAGCTGCATTCTGTAAACCCTTCGGGGAGGACTCTGGCCCTGCCGGGGTTAAGTTTCCCTCTCTTAAGGCAGGCATTAACATGGAAATAGCCCACCTGCATTAGTCAGCTCTGTCACTGGGACACAGTGCCAGACAGAACCAGCTTATCAGGAGGGCAGTTTTTTTTTTGTTCATGGTTTAAGAGGTTCAGTGCATGGTAATGCAGCCCTGGAGCTGCTGTGTCCTGGAGGAAGCCTGGGAGCACAGAAAGAGGTAGAAAGCACAGGGAACCCCATAGCCCCTTTCTAGGACCCCAGTGACCGACCTCACTTCCTGCTCTAGGCCTCAACCTTGAGGGTCCTGCCACCTCCCCAGAGGACTATAGGCTAGGGACAGCACGCTTCTGTGTCCCAGGACTGAGCAGGGGGCTCCAGTGTGGCCTGTCCATTTAGACTGCTCTGGGCACAGAAGCTGCTTTCTAGCGCTCACACAGATTAGGGATCCACATCTCCATCTCCGCCTCTCCAGTGTCTGTTTATTTATTGTTTATTCATAACTTCGTTATCTTACCGTTCAAAACCACCATATACACTGTGTTATATACATATATTTTTTCCAGTTCTGGGAACTGAATCTAGGTTCTCTTGCCTGTCAGGCAAGTGCTCCACCATTAAGCTTTATCACCAGCCTTTACATTTTTAAAATTTCGAGACAGTCTCACCAAGTTGCTCAGGCCAGCCTGGAGCTTGAGATCTTTCTCCCGAGGAAGTATATGCCGCTGTCTCTGGCTCGAGTTTGCATTTTACAGATTGCTAAGAGATGTGGTTGGTGATCAGTCGGTCCAAACACTGCGGTCAGAAGCCAAGGTCTTAGCCTGCTCTGGGCTCACCTCAGCTTTCAGCACTGCCTCTTGCATGTGTGGGAGCAGGAGGAGATCCTGAAACCCCGACACCCCATTCTCTCTCCTCTGCCGCAGGACTCCAGACAGTTCAGTCTGGGGCACAAAGAGGGGACACTGTGGAAACTGAGACCTTTGGGGTCTCCACAGGGAGAGTTGATTTTAAATAGCTTTGCATTTGTAAAATATTTTCTTAATTGGTAGCTAATTAGTCTTCAGCTAATGAAGGCATGTAGTTTATTTGGACCAAGGAAAAATAGATGGTTTTATGAGAACCAGAATGTTCTAAATACTTTGGTATTGTGCTAGGGATTAAACCCAAGACCTTCACAGCCTTGAGCTGCACCCCCAGTGCAGGCAGCCCTGGAGGATCGGCGTGCAAAGGGCACACACCTAAGGGTGCTTCTGCACTCCCAGCAGAACTGGAGACTTGCAGTAGAGAAAGAGCTTTTTCCTCTTTGGAATAAGAATCTGGTCCATTCTCTCCACTGCCGGGTGGGGAAGAGCCCCAAAGATAACTAACTGCCTTTTCAGCTCCCCAAACAAACAATGCTTTGTTACTTTCTGGGACAAACAGGAGTATGGAAAGGCTTTGTAGGGTCCTTGTGAGTTGTGGTGTATAAGTTTTTGCACCTGTAAAGGGTGAGTGTAAATCGTCCTTGCGTTTGTTAGCGCACAAGCATTACAGAGATCAGCTTCCTTTGGGACCTGTAAGCAATAGGGCTCTAGGGATTAATTCTTGCACCTGACCTCACGCCTTCACTGGTGGATTGTCCAGCCTCGGACAGGCCATTCAACATCACTGACATCAGGCTCTTCACCTAAACATAGTGTGCAGTATGAAAATATGCTGCAGGCTTTGTGAGAATTGTGTGGCAATGCCTATAAAGACCTCAGCACAGAGCTGGGCCATGCAGGAGCTCAAGGCACAGAAGTACTTGAGTTCTCACAGTTTACTGTCGATCATAGAATGCAACTTAAATTTCTGTTGGTTAACTTAGGTCACAAGGGAATACGTATGGATGCACACAGGCACTTGTGTGCATGGCTATGCACACACACACACACACACACACACACATACACACACAGGTATAGGGAGTGTGTTAGTGAAAACCTTTTCTACAGTGTAGTTTATCGATTGCAGCTGCCACCCTGACCTGGAACCTGGCAGAGCACCAGACATTGATGACATGCTCTGACCGGCGCCCCTTGGCCCCTGGCTTTCTGGGCCCACAGAGGCCACCCCTGGGCTAGGACATGGCTCTCGCTATCGGCCTCTGTCATGGAGCGTGCCGATGGGTGCAGCAGACCGGAGTGATAAGGAGACCAGAACTTTCTGCTGACTGCAGATCTTTCTGGCCTTGTGAATGACAAGGAAATGTCCTCAGTGAGGATGGCTACGGGCTTGGCTCTGAGTCACCGAAGCCTGGCCCTTTCGTCTCCCAGGCTTTGCTCCCTGTCAGATGTCATAGGGTGCCCACAGTTTGGACACCCCATAGACAAGGGGCCATGAGGACTGTTGCCCTGGAGCACATCGTGTCTCTGTGTTGTAGCTGTCACTGTTGTTCCGCTGGGTTCTACACATACACACACACATGCACGCACACGCGCGCGCGCACACACACACACACACACACACCTGTGCCAGTAACAGGGGCTCTCACAAACGGACGCTCGCTGTGTCCCGGGAGCTGTTGGAAGCACTTCACACATCCATCATAGAGCTCATCATTATTGTGATTCCTCTTCTTTTTCCCATTTTCTAGCAGGGAAAACAGCCCGGGAGGATGAAGCACCTGGACCAGGTCGCACAGCCTCCACACTCCCACCAGCCCCTCTCTCCTTACTTCCTCTTTGTTAACCATTTAAACATTAATTTTAAGAGCACTGTTTAAGTGATCAATTCCTCCAGTTCTCAGCACAAGGTGTAGGGGGAATTTAAGGAGCTTCCCAAGTCTGGGGCTTGTCTAGTGGAAGGCGGAACCCTCAGGGCAAGGGTGATCTGGCCTGGTCCCCAGGGACCCTAGAATTGAGCTTCTCCGGCAGCACAATGATGGTGCTAGAGCAGGGCATGTCCGCAACTGGACTCTGAAGCTTTCTTTTGAGCTCCTGGGCTCCTGCAGTCTCCTACCTCAGCCTCCAGGGTATCTGGGACTACAGGTGCAAAGCCATCAGATAGGCTTCTGGATTTTTTGTTTCTGTGTGGGGGTGGTCCCCCCCCCCCCCCCCCGTACCAGGGATCGAACTCGCGCTTATGCCGCTGAGCTAAATCCCAGCCCCAGGCTTCTGGATTTTTAGAGTGAGATATTTTCAAGTCCAAAATGAATTTTTTTCCTCCAAAATGTGTGAAGTTCAAGGCTTGGCGTGAGGGAGGGAGGGTCGAGATTATCAGACTCTACCTTAGATCCTTTGTGGAATGAGATAAGCGTAAAACAAGCAAACAGACTAAAATCCTGTAGCCACCTCCCCCCGCCCCAGCCGACCAGAGACAAACACTTTGCATTCTAGATCTGCTTATAGGGGAGGGGGGCGGTCTTGGATGTAGGCGGGGCTTGGACAAGGCTCTCCTGGCTCTCGGGAGACCACTTCCGCTGCCTGCTAGGCCAGGAGCCTGTTGGGAAGAAACCACGTGGGTCAACAGAGAGGACCCTAACTCTCCTGTCCGCGGGCAGCAGACCTTTGGGTGAGGAGAGTGCCCTCTCCAGAGGTGAATGGAGCCAGGACACAGGTGGCAGGTGGCGGGGCGGGGGGGGGGGGACACACACACTGTAGAGGTCCCAGCTTTAGCGTGCTGCTGTCCTGGGGCTTTCCTGGGCTGCCCCAGGGCCCTCCCCGGGAACAGGTTCCTCCGGAGAACCAAGAGGATGTGCCCAGCCGGGGTGCCCACTCTCCAAAGGCTCCCCCGGGTGACAGCGGGTCGGGCACTGGGTGAATGAGGGTGTGCTCAGTGTGACCCGTGAACAGCACGACGCACCCCTGGGCGTGGCTGGCTAGGCGGGGCCGAGCTCCAGGCCTGTCCAAGCGGAATCTGCCCCGCGGCTGCACCCGGGCACGTCTCCCCGGCCCCAGGGCACCAGGGCGCGCACGCAGAAGGCGGGCTGGCTACACATCGGGCGGGGGCGGCCGGCGGGAGGCCTGGCCACCGCACTCTGGGCCCCGCGGCTGGGCGAGGGGCGGGGCCGGGCCCCGCGTAAAAGGCGGCGGCGGCGGCGTTGCGCGCGCGCGCGCCATGGGCCGCTACTCGGGCGCGACGTGCCGGCTCTGGGCCATGCTGGCGCTCACAGCCAGCTTCTTCGTGGCAGAGCTGGTGTCCGGCTACCTGGGCAACTCGATCGCGCTGCTGTCGGACTCTTTCAACATGCTGTCCGACCTCATCTCGCTGTGCGTCGGCCTGACCTCGCGCTACCTGGCGCGGCGCGCGCGCTGGGGCATCCGCGCCTCCTTCGGCTACGTGCGCGCCGAGGTGGTGGGTGCGCTCAGCAACGCCGTGTTCCTCGCCGCGCTCTGCTTCACCATCTTCGTGGAGGCCGTGCTGCGCCTGGCGCGGCCCGAGCGCGTGGACGACCCGTTCCTGGTGCTGGTGGTGGGCGCCCTGGGGCTGGCGGTCAACATCGTAGGGCTGCTCATCTTCCAGGACTGCGCCTCGTGGTTCTCTTGCTGCTCGCGGGCCCGGCGCGCTCGCCGGCAGCCCGGGGACAAGGACCGGGCGCCCCACGCCCTGGGGGGGCCCGGGGGTGCCGAGGAACCTGTGCGGCCCACCGCCCCGCCCGCCCCAGGCCCGGACCTCGCGCTAGAGAAGGGCGCCACGGTGATCGCCAATGTAGCAGGTGCCTTCCGGTGGCATCCTGGGGTTCCCGCTCCCCCACTCCGCCCTCTGTCTCTCTTCTGCCTGCACCGCCCTCCCTTCCCTGGCGCTCGCGGCCCTTGGCCCCTCGCGGCGCGCTCCCCTCCCGCCACCCCGCCCTGCGGGAGAATCGATTCCTATTGAGCAACGTGGTGCCCGGCTGCGCTCTGAACTTTGCTTCTGTCCTCCTCTCTGCCGGCCTCTGTCCCCGGACACCGTGGGCTCGGGCGGGGGTAGGGACGGGCTCCCTCCTGGGTTTTACCGGAAAGGTAGTGGAGTAGGGGCCAGAGGTGGAGGACGGGGCCCTCGCGAGGCGCCCGTCCTGCTGTGGGTGGTGTGGGTGCAGAGACAGGGGTGCTGGGCTAGTTAGGTGTCCCGAATAACAGAACTGTGTTTTGAGTCCTTTGGTTCTTTTTGCTTGTAGAACTCATACACAACACAAGGTCTCTTCTTTGAATGCAGGTGATTCCCTGAGCACCCCGCCTGAGCCGGAAGAGGCTGTGAAAAAGAAGAAGTCCGAAGCCCTGAATATCCGAGGTAGGGCCCGCAGGCCGGCCGTTTGCTCCCCTCTCCCATGCGTCTGGGTCAGTGAGACCCCCAAGGGCCGCTGGCTTTGAACGCGGCGCCGCCGGTGCGTTTGAAGCTGGCCAGGTGCCCACACAGGTGATGACCTGGCTCTTGCCTAATCGCAGCTTTGGAAGGGAGGGACTCGGTGCTAATCATTTATCTTGGTTCGAGATCCACCATCTCAGAGGCTGCTGCTCTGGGCCTGGATTCTCCCATCCGCGGGCTTTGCGCACATGCAGTACGATTCCTTTCCTTTCTTTCTTATATGTTTATTTGGTTTCGGGGGTTCAGTGCTTCCATCCCGTGCTAGGCACAGGCTCTATGCTGCTGAGCCCCGCCCGTGGGGTTCCCATAAAGTTTAGGAAGAGGAGAGGTTGTGGGAGTGGCAGGAGCGCTGAGGCTCCGGTTATATCTGTGGGTAATCTGCGTTTGTGAAGCGATTCTCCAGCCACTAAAACCTCCACTATAGGCCCAAAAGGCATTCTGGGGAGGCACTTGGTGGGCACCTGAGTCACGTTCTTCTCACTGCTCCTTGAGATCAGCAACCTGGGGCAGAGACACTGCTTGCAAACTCTGGAGGGTTGCGGTGGGGTACCCTGGCCAGACTGTGGACTTTAGGGCAGGTGAAGCAATGCATCAGCTTCCTGTCCTGTGCTTTGCTGGGGTGGGGGAAGCCTCTGGTGGGCTGAGATGCAGTAATATTATGAAACTTGAGCCAGGCATGGTGGTACATGCCTGTAAGCTCAGCACTTGGGAGGCTGAGGCAGGAGAATTGCTATGAATTAGAGACCAGATTGGGCTACCCAGTGAGTTCATGGCCAACCTGTACTACATAGCAAGACCCCATCTCAAAAAAAAAAAAAAAGAAAAAAAAAAAAAGAAAAGACCAAAAACCTAAAATAATAATAATAATTCAGGTATGCTCTCTGATTTATAAAGTGATTCTCAGAATAAACTATAGGAAAATGTAGGAAACAAAACACCAGTAATACAGAGTCCCCAAAAATTATAAATGAATTAAATATTTTTAATGTGATGGGAACTTTCTAAAGCGTGGGTAGTGAATCTTTTTGAGAAACCTGTGATGAAAGATCATCGTCCTTTAAATCATCGTTTTAAAGGCTCTTCGTAAGTTTTATGGGTATGTGTGAAGGTATGTGGTGGGGGTGGGAAGAGAGCGATTTTGAGGTGACAGTCACCTTGGCAGTCCTCCAGCTGTTCCAAGCATGGTGTGTCAGTGATCTTCGCCTTGTGCTGCAAAGGTTATAGAGAGGGCACATGTGTGGACAGAGGTAAAAAAGATCAGTGGATACTGTGGCCTAATTTGGGAAACTTGGATGATTTTGCTAATTTTGTGGGTGCCGAGGATTGAACCTAGCTCCCCCACTGCGCCCACCCTCAGCCCCAGCCCCAGTCTTGCTGATGTTTGGCCCAAAGCTCACAGGGTTCCTGCATAGAAAGAGGCAGTAGCAGAGAGCCGGATGGTCCTGGCTGAGCTTGGTCCACAGGGATGGATGGAGGTGAAGATCCAGTGGCTGAAAGGCTAGGATTTGGCTTCCCTCTGCCAGGGGTGCCCCTGCTCAGCCACCTTGGGTCTGCAGGGCTGAGGCCAAGGGCTGAGCCTCCCCACACAATCTCTGCCTCTTTTATTCAAGGGTGGCAGCCAGCCAAGCATTTTGGTGCTTGGACTTTGCGCCAGGCAACTCCCATGGGTGCGTCATGTAGCTTCTCAGGCTCCTACTGGGCAGAGGCCGAGGCTGCTGAGCAGCTGGGGAGAAGCAGGAGTAACTGTGCCCGCAGTGCCCGGGCCTGGTGTCCCTGCCTCCCAGGGAGGGGCCACAGAAGGACCCAGAGCTGGAAAGGCCTTGAGGAAGGGGGCTGGCGCTTTCTCACTGCAGATGGGGGCATGGGCTCCAGGGAGTCTGGCAGCATCCCCAGGCCGCCTGGGCCAGCAGCAGAGGGGACTGAGGTCCTGGACTCCTGCTGCACACCTGGGACTCTTCCCATGACCGCACGTTGCTCCTGGTTCCGCTTCTTTGGCCAGTGTAGACTGGGCTGGATGGCTCCATTGCTGCGGTGTAAACGAGGCTGCCCCTTCTCGGGTCTGCTCAGGAAACGTTTGGGGCTTTGGGGAGCAGGAAACAGTCCTTGGTTCTTGTCCCCGCCTTGCTGTCATCTCATAAGAATAGAGAGCAGGCGGGGCTGGGGGTTTAGCTCAGCGGCATAAGCACCTGCCTTGCAAGCAGGCGGTCATCAGTTCGATCCCCGGTACCGGTAAAAATGAAAAAAGACCAAAAAAAAAAAAAAAAAAAAAAAAGAATAGAGAGCGGTAAGAAGTGCCGCGTGCCAGCGTGACCCCTGCCAGCTTCTCAGCATGCTGTGCTCTGGCTGATTCTGTGCCAGCGTGGTTCTGTGTGGGATCGGACGTGGCACTTTACAAAGGCTGTGACAGTGTCGGGACGGACTGATGCTGCCTTCACTTTATGCCTTTAAAGTAGCCTGGAAGACAGGAAGAAGGAGTTGCCTGTCGAGGAAGCCCTTGAGTTCTGACAGTGAACAGTGATCTTGGCGCTGCTTGAAAATAAATGGCTTTCTGAATCATTTCCTTATCGCTCGTTTCCTCCACTAAGAAGGGTCCTTTCTGTCCCTTCACCTCCAACACTTTCTGGGAGTGCCCAGCACCCAGGCACTGCCTTTCCCGAAGCCATAGCACCCAGTTCTCCAGAGCCCTGGGACCCTTAGCAACTGTCAGTTGATTCCTGCCCGATTACCAGCCGGTGACACACCAGGTCTTTCGGTTTCAGCGGAGGCAGGGCAGGGGCAGAGGTTTCCTGACTGACCTAGGGAAGCTCGGGAGGAGCAGAGCACAGCGATGAATCAGGCGACCCGTTGGGAGGTCTGCGGAGTCATCTTGGTCTCCCAGGTGACCTCCTGCAGGAGCTCTCCCGAGTCCCCCTGGGGTTGCAACAGGTTGTGGACAGGAGTCTGGACAGCAGGCAAGTGAGGTCTCTACATGTCTGCTCTTGGCTGAGGATTGTGCGTTTCCCAGGCCACCCTGGGTGCCTTTAGGGAGAGCTCCTGTCCTTAGAGGTGATCTAAGGATAATGGTCTAATGACTACCTCTAATGGTGTCTTTGGAACTTAAAATTGTTTTGGTGGTTTGGAGACAGTCTTACTGTGTAATTTTAGGTTGATCTTAAACTCTTGGTGATCCTCCTGCCTCAGCTTTCTAAGGTGCTGGGGGTACAGGTGTGTGTGCCACCCTGCCCAACTGTAGAATTTTCGTTTTTGTTTTGCCAAGTGGCTCCTTGGGCAGCGGGAACTCAATGGAGTCCCTTTTTCGGGGCCACAGACTGATTTGGGGAAGGGAGGCCGAGAACAGAGTGGGGAGGAACATGCATCTCTGCCTCTTTGTGCATTTGAAGTAGTCCGGAGGACGGGAGGAAGGGATGCCCTGGTCAGCCCTTCTCTCCCAGCCTGGTGGCCTCTGGTGGTGGCAAGGTGACCAATGGCCGAGTCTCCTTTGCTGGCCTCCCTCTGCCCAGGCTCTCTGGGGTGCTGGGTGTGGCCTGGGTCTGTTTCTGAGGAGCAGCTGGCATCGCCGTGCAGGTAGAAGTGGGAAGCCCCCAGTGTCCACACTGGGTGGCTGCACCCTGGCCCCGCCCCTCACGTGTCTCTTCTCTCGCAGGGGTTCTCCTGCATGTGATGGGTGATGCCTTGGGCTCCGTGATCGTGGTCATTACGGCCATCATATTCTATGTGCGTCCTCTGAATAACGGGGAGCAGTGTAACTGGCAGTGCTACATCGACCCCAGCCTGACCATTGTCATGGTCATCATCATCCTGTCCTCTGCCTTCCCGCTGATCAAGGAGACAGCCAGCATCCTGCTGCAGATGGTGCCGCCAGGCGTCGACATGGAGGAGCTGAGTGAGTAGCAGGGACTGAGAGTCTGAGGGGCGCAGGGGCAGTGTATGGGTTCTTCCTTTCGAGACAGGGTCTTGCTATGTAGCCCGGGCTGGTCTGGAACTGCTGTGACCCTCCTGCCTCAGCCTCCCAAGTGTAGGGATTACAGGCTGGGCCACCATGCCCAGACAGTATGTGGTTTTATCCTGGAGAGTACTCGAATTGCCTAGCAATAGAGAGGCCCGTCCCACGGTTGGCAGCCTTGCAAGGTGATTCACAGCTGCAGGAACCAAAGTCCTTCCCTCCCATGACTCTTCACTGTGGTTTTGGGAATTCAGTGCATGGGTGGCTCTCCTCCCAGGCTCCTCCCAGGCTTGTTCTTTTCTCTTGCAGCTCTGGAGTTGGAACTCAAGATTGCACTGAGCTACATCTCCAGGTCCCTGTCCCCTATTTTGAGGCAGAGTCTCTACTTAGCTGCTCAGTTTCCTAGATTGGACTCAAAATCACAACCCTCCTGCCTCAGCCTCCTGAGTGCTGGAATTACAGGCATGCCGGGCAAGAACTTGGTTTTTATTCCTTTGCTTTCTTTTGAAACTCAAATGATTCCTAGTGTAGATCCCAGCTTTTATGGGCACACAGTCGCTATACCTCTCAGCGCAGTGACAAGGACAGGGTTTCAACCCAGGCCCTTCCCGTGTCGGTCAGTGAGTGCTGTCTCTGCTTTGCCTGAGTAGAAGTCGGAAGCTCACGTTGGTTACACGCATCGTGGCGTACGGGGTTTTGGTGTTGTGGGCCCCCTAAATGGGAGCCCCTCAGATACAGAGTGACGAAGCAAGGGGTGATGCTGTCCCCCGTTTCCAGGCAGGCATTGTGCTTTTGCCGAACAGGACCTCCCCGAGGTGTCTCCTGTTGTTTTATTTACCTCGGCTTCAGCCAGGAGTGGAGTGGAGGCAGGAAGAGCTGGGTCAGGTTGCACACCTGGAATTCTGCTCACGTGGTCCTGGGTGCTGATACATCATGTGGCTGGGGCTTCCTGTCCCCTGCTGCAGGGTGACTTTGGCATGGCCTTTTCTTGTTTGCTGCTGAGCTGTATCATGCTAAGCACTCACCCCACCCCAGTGGCGCCCCCAGCGCATGGGTGCACCCGGCCAGGGCTGGGTTTCACGGTGCCATGGTGCCAGGCTGTGGAGCCCTAGCCAGAGCCCGTGGCACCCCTGCACTCTTCTCCCCATGCTGCAAGCATCTTTCTCTCAGCCTCTTCTCCGGTAGTGCTGTCTGTCGGGAATGCAGGTGGTCGGAGGGAGAGGTTGCAGCGGAGCAGAGGGGTGGTGCCTGTGCCACCCCAGGCTCTAGTTTGCTTCCCAGTGGGGGCACAAGATACCCACGCAGAAAACTGGTGGTACCCAGTCTACCACCTGCCTTTCAAGCTGTTTTTTTTTTTTTTACTTTTTTTTTTCTTTTTCTCTTTTTATCGGTACCAGAGATTGAACTCACGACCGCCTGCTTGCAAGGCAGGTGCTTATGCCACTGAGCTAAATCCCTAGCCCCTTTCAAGCTGTTTTTAAAAAATATTTATTTATTTATGGGGCAGAGTTTTGCTGTGTAGTTCAGGCTGGCCTTGAACCGGCGTTGTGTTTCAGGCTGGCCTTGAATTTGAGGCACTCCTGCCTCAGCCTCCTGAGTGATGGGATAGATGACATGTGTATGCCACCCTGCCAGCCTTACAATGTGATTTTAGAAAGACTGAAATGACCACCATAATTTACCGCAGGCTAGGTACTGTGCTAAGTGTTTATACCAGCTTGCCTCTGTTCCTAACATAAGCCTGGGAGAACTCTCTGTATTCGTCCAGTTTTCAGATAAGCAGGGCTGGGGAAATCCCTGAGGTCACACACTCACTCTATTGGGGTCCCAGCTCTAGCTGTTGGTAGAGTCTGTGCCCACACGCCCAGGCACTCTGTCTCTGAAATATACACTGATTTTGGAAAATACGGAAAAGGCAGAAAAGCCACATTAGAAGTCTATTTTAAGTCCACCATGGAAATTGCCACTCTTGGCATTTTGTTCTGTGTACACTATACAACAATTGCAAAGATCACGCTGTGTACGTAGCTTAGCCATTTGCTTTTTCTTTTACCTCTGTGCATTTCCTCATAGTCCTAAATATGCAACTTGGTTTTAACAGCTGTACTCTGTTCTGCTGTGTGATTGGTTCAACAGTTTCCTTGTGGCTTCGCTGTTGTTTTTTTCATTACTACAAAGAGTGTGACCCGAACCATTTGGGTTAAATTCCAGGCCCTACAATTGTTGATAAATGTTTTGGATCCTTCTTGCCAAAGGAATGTTTTTCAAACAGAGATCCCCTGTGCTGTCCTGGGTTGCTGTGCTCAGTGGCCCTGGGCCTTTCTCTTCCTTAAACTTCCTGCCCTGGAGGCCTAGCTCAGGGATGGCAGTGTGTAGTTCGGACCCTGGAGAGGAGAGAAGGTGGTGGGTGCCAGATGTGTGTAGTGCCTGGCACTGTGTGTCAGGAGCCAGGCACCAGGGCGCCACACTGGCCGTGGCACTCACAGTGGCTCTTTGCTCTTTGTCCTAGTGAACAAACTCTCCACCGTGCCCGGCATCAGTAGCCTGCATGAAGTCCACGTGTGGGAGCTTGTGAGCGGGAAGATCATTGCCACCCTGCACATCAAGCACCAGGAGGACAAAGCGTGCCAAGACACCAGCGCCAAGGTCCGGCAGATCTTCCACAATGCCGGCATCCACAGCGTGACCATCCAGTTCGAGAGCAAGGACTCATGGAAGTCCTCGGAGCATGGGGACTTCCTGCAGGTGTGCAGCAGCCCCTGCGTGTCCCAGGCCTGTGTGGAGAAGCAGTGCTGTCCCCCTAGGGCACTGCCCTTGGCCCACGTGAACAGCTGTGCCGAGCAGAATGGGGACCTAGCTTGGGAGAGCTACCCGAGCAGGAGGGACTCCACAGATGTGGCCATCACAGTGTCCGGGGACGGCTGTCTTGTCAGGAATGGGGCACAAGCCCTTCCCAAGGCGCCGGAGGACCAGCATTATGAAAACAGCACGTATTTCTAGCGTGGCGTCCATGGCTCAGACTGCGCAGGCGGAGGCTGTGGGGTCGGCAGCGTGGCTCTGCGGACCATGGGCTCTGCACACTGCCAGGGGCACTGACTGTGTCAGGAGGGGTTGGTGCCAGGGGTCGTCAGAAACGTCACTGGTCTCGCCATGCCGATGACCCTTTCCTGGACCCTGAGTATCGTGCTCTCCCCATGCGTTTTCTAAAGAACCATACTGGGCTCAGTGTGTGGGCTGAGACTCAGGGACCTGGACATGAGATTCCCTGCCGCTCTTGCTCTCTGTTTTCTTCTGGTGCCGGACGGGGACCCAGGGCCTCCCCACTCAGGCTTGAGCTCACAGTGGGCCGCTCGTTTGCAAACTGAGCCCAGCATCCAGCTGGCTCTCGGGTGAGTTCAGCCTCAAGTTGTGGAAACAGCTGTCTTCCCTACGCTCCTCGAAAGCCAGCAGAGTTAGAGAGCTCTGGTCCTGGGAAAGGATCCTCAGTGCACTTTTTGATGACAGTGAAGGACCCCTCGGTAGGACGCGGTTGCTGCCTGGGGAGGCCGGCGTGGTGCAGAGGGGAGAGCAAGGTCACCTCCCACCACCTGGGACTGAGCAGCGAGTCTCCACAGGTGCCGTGCTCCTCCACTTGGAAGTGGGCAGTGTTTCTCCTTTTTAATTTATGACCCCAGTACTTATTTGCTGTCTTTTAAAATCTCCAGCTTGTCTTGTCATTTATCCCTTGATGACGATTTTATTCCCTGTCTCCTTCTATGTGATCTCATTGATCTGTGCAGTATTTGCTGAGCATTCCTGACTCCGAGCGGTCATTCTTGTCAAATAAACGAGCTCGATTGCCTTGTGTTTGATGAGACACACTGTACAGTATTGATTGTAGTTACTAGCTGGTAGCTTGATGGAAGTGTTGTATTCAGGAGAAGAGGGGAGAAGGCAGTTAACTGCTGCGTTTGATGTTTTGAGGAGCTTAGATCTTTCTTTTATAAACCTGTTACCAAGTTCAAATGAATCTATTATAATCTGATGCAGACACATAACCCAGCTGTATTAAGCAGTAGAGAAACATCTGTCGTTGGTTCAACACATGGGCTGGGCATCAGGGTTTAAACAGCCTTGAAGAGACTGTGTCTTAGAGAATTGGTATCTGCTTCAGTAGGCTGCAGAATTAATTGAAAACAATCATCTCCTGGGCTATAAGCTTTGAACCCTATTTGGAATCTGTCCAGGATTCCACGAAGTGCTGGGGTGATAACAGAAACAGTATCCATATTATTTAGAAAAATTTCACTTTGCCAGGCATAGCAGAAGCGTGCGGTCCCAGGTTCTCAGGAGGCTGCGACAGGAGGATCACTTAGTCTCACGAGTTTTGGGCCAGCCTGGGCAACATAGCAAGACCCTCTCTTAAAAAAACAAAACAAAACTGTTGGCTTCATCATGAATTCAAAGGCTGATAAGTAAGCAGCTGTGATCAGTAGAGTAGGAAATTCTTTGTTCTTCGAAGGTTCGGTGAGTTTCATTTGACCATAAATAGGAAAGGACCTAAAAATGTTCTTATCTCGGAAAGTTCATCAGGACAGGTTAGATGCACTTTATAAGCTGAAGGGGCAGAAAATCATGAGACAGCACCTCGATTTTTAGCATTACATGTGTGATGTGCAGGACGCAGGGTTCTCGAAAAAACCATGTGGGATGGTGAGCCCCATCTCCTGTGCCCTGAGACACTGCAACCACAGGCAGAGAAGTTTATCCATTCCAAATTGGAAGCTCTAATTTGATCTCATAACAGTTGCTCTTATTAAATGGGAAAAACTGAAATTTATAGTTTTTTTTTTTTTTTGTCTTTTTCATTTTTATCGGTACCGGGGATCGAACTCACGACCGCCTGCTTGCAAGGCCGGTGCTTATGCCGCTGAGCTAAACCCCTAGCCCCATGAAATTTATTGTTTTTTTAAAAATAGTTTTTCTGCAACTGGCTCAAGGAATGCATTTTAATTTGCATCTAAGTAATGTTCTTTAATCTCTAAAGTATTTTTCTGGAGAGAGAAGGGCACTTAATTCCAAAATAATTAACTCTAACCTCAGAGGACTACCTCGATTGATATTTTTTGTGTGTGTGTGTGTTTTTCTTTTTTATCGGTACCGGGGATCGAACTCACGACTGTCTGCTTGCAAGGCAGGCTCTTATGCTGCTGAGCTAAATCCCCAGCCCCCTCGATTGATATTTATAAGCACCTCAAATCATGGACCAGGAAGTACCGTTTTAAGATGGAGTGGCTGAGGGTCTGGAAAACCTCCATAAGGGCCGTAGTGTTCATGGGGTCGCATTTGCCACCAGTTACGTGATACCCGCTGTGTGGTGTTTTTCCAGGTTCTTCTCTCCTGTGAGCTGGCTCACCTTTTGTTTTGTTTTACTGAGGTAGGGTCTCCCTGTGTAATTCAGGCTGCCCTGACCTCACTACGTAACTCAGACTGCCTCAAACTTGTAGTGGTTCTCCAGCCCGAGTGTTGGGATTACAATCTTGTGTCACCATGTCTGGCTGTCCAGCCTTCTTCTCTTCCCAAGGAAATGCAAAATGACTTTGTTTTTCTCCTGTATCAGCACTATTGAATGAACAGCATATTTAAAACTATAGATTTAGTAGTAGAAAAACACTGATCCTTAGTTTGTGGTCTTGTTTCTGTAGATTCATTCTAGAATATTCTTTCTCTTTCTTCATTCATTCTAGAATATTCTAGATTCATTCTAGAATATTTATTCTTTTTTCAGTTCTGAAAGCAATTTCTTTCCCCCCTGTAGTTCTGGGAATCACACCTAAGGCTTCACGCATGCTGGGTGGAGGTTTTACCACCGAGCTAAACCCCACCCTGGAAACGCTGCTTCCAAGCTGTAGAAGTCTGTGGCTTTCTGTGCACACGTCAGGACTCGGTGCCCCGTGCTCCTTCCTTCCTTATTTTAAATGAGTGAGAGGAAACACTCACTGCTTCCCTTCCCGGTTTTCCAACTTGGATTTTGAAAATAGAGGTTAAGTTTTTCATGCTATTTGCTTGTTAAGGTTACCCGTGGGGCCTCTGGTCTCTAATGTTGACAGAAGAACACTGCTCCTCAACATTGTTGATAAGATGCCAGAGGGAAAAAGAAAAAGAGGGACGCACTCTTTGGTGAAGAATTTAAAATATACTTACTTTTATTTTTTTTGCTACAGATTAAGCAAATGCTAGTGGCGTAAATCAGCAACTCCAAAGTTTAATGGGAATGAGCGTTTTTAATGTCAAAAAACAAAAAAACTCCAAACCAAACCAAACAACAACAAAAATCCCGCCAACAAGGTATGGAGGCAGACTCTGTATTACACCCGGGGGCTTCCCGGGACGGAGGAAGCCCTGCTCCCTCAATCTTGAGTGATTTGGAAGAGGGAGAGGCAACAGCATCCGGCGCAGTGGGAGCTGGGGACCTTGGGGTTGTTTCCGTGCCTTGTTCTGAACCCCTGGCTGAATTAAGGGTAGGTTAGGGCATCCTCTCCATGGGCCGACAGACCTCTCGGTTCACCAGTTCTGCAGAATTCACTCTTTGAAAACAAGATTTTACTTTACTTTTTGGTACTAATGATTGGACCCAGGACCTTTTGCATGTTAAATATGCACCCCACTCCTGAGCAACACCCCCTGCTAAACAAGATTTTTGTTTTGTTTTTGCGACAGGGCCTCTGTATGCAGCTCAGGCTGGTCTCACTCCCTGTGTAGCCAGGGTTGGCCTCAAACTCATGGAAATCTTCCTGCCTCAGCCACCTGGGTGCTGGGATTTCAGGTGTGTGCCACCACCCCTGGTGAAAGTTTTTTAAAATAAAACTATGCATGAAAATTGTCATATTGATACAGGAATTTTGGAAGGTATGCAAATTGAAAAATAAAAAGCCTTTGCAAATCCTATTTTGCAAGCCAGTCACTAGGACCATGAGTCTGATAAGGGAAAAGTATTTGCTGTCATTTTTCAGTGTTGTTTTCTTCGACTCATGGTTTTCCTCAGTTTGATGAGCCTGGAGCTAAACAAGGCCAGCAAATACCAGCATGACTGATTCTTAGGGTTAAGGTGTGCACTCTGTACTTAGCATCACCAATCTTATTTTATTTTATTTTGTCTTTTTCCTTTTTATTGGTACCGAACTCACAACTGCTTGCTTGCAAGGCAGGTGCTTATGTTGCTGAGCTAAATCCTCAGCCCCTTATCACCAATTTTAAACCTGGTGTTTGTTGTTAGTTCTTGGTAAGCAGTTCATTTTAGTGCTAGGGAGGAGTTTTGACATTAAAAAAAAATGCTTTATTGTTCATGGCTCCCTGAATCTCGCCAAATGCTATTTTCTCAGAGACGGCAAATGTAGTCAGAGACTACATTTCAGAGTAGTGTGCTTTTACATGGATTTTCCCACTCTTATAGGTAAAAGACTATGTGACAGACAGACAGACAAGGGGAAGTGAGGCTATGTTTCCTGATGTGGAACTGGAGATTGGATGAGGGGCAGTTGGCCACCCATTCTGAGCTGTCACTGTTGTGTGAACCCGGGCATATTTACAACCCAGGGGTCACGGAACCAGGAAATTGGGTTCCACTCTGGAGCCTGCAGTGCGACCCCAGCGCCGGAGGGCATGGCCCTCAGCTGCTGCTCTCTGGCACTGCCCAGGCTTCCCGTTGCAGCTGTTTTACCCTGGCCTGTTTTGTGTACCTGGGACTTTCTTGGATGTGTGCTCAGTGACCCACCGTTACCTCTTAGCAGAAAGCTGGCCAGAGCCATGGTACATGTCTGAATTTTGAGAATAGCCCAGAGAGGGTGGCTCTAGAGACAGCGTCCTTCCTGGTCGCCCGGGGCTGTGTTACAGTTTTGTTGCTTAAAGTCCTTTGCTCCTCACAGGTGATTCTGCCCAAGTGTGACTGTCACATCTGGGAGGACTTTAAAACGTCAAAGTGCAGTGTTCAGATGACTCATTTCCGATTGCATGTGAATCCCCTCTGCTGCGTTTGTGCATCTATGTGTCTTTCTGACAATAAAAATGTTTAAAGAGTGAAAATCTGGGCCCTGTGTTTGTGGACATTAAACAGAAAGTGGAACTCACTTTGTCTTTGCCACTGCCCTTGGGTGATTTATACCAGCTCATGAAGAAATGGTTGGGTTCTGATCCACTGGCCCACGTCTCCTTTCCATCTTGCCAGTTTCTTATCCATACTCTTCCCTGACCACGTGCAGTGTCACCAAATGTGCACTTCCTGCAGATTCCGTCACTGTGACAAATGCCTGAGCTGTCCCCTTGTAGACAGAGAAGGTCTGAGCAACTGGCCCATCGTTTTCGGCCCAGGGAGAGACAGTGACCAGGGCAGGCGTGGGGCAGAGCACACGACTGACCACCTCAGCCTGGGAAGCAGATCTAGAGCAGATAGAACAAATGGGGTTCCCATGATCCCCTTCAAGGCCACACCTCAAGGGCTGGAAAATGTTCCACCAGGCCCAGCCTCCCAGCAGCCCCTCCTGGGGGCCTCGCCTTGAGCACAGGGTCTCTGGAGGACATTAAAGATGCAAACCCCAGCAGGTCATCTTGGCCAAAATGGCACAAATCAGGGCACTCACCTGGCTTTCTGGTGGACACTTGGGCCCTGGGTTTCACTGCAGGGTTGGTAGGGAGAGGGCACCTAGGCTTTAGGGAACGGTGGACATGTTCCTGAGACTAGCAGGTCTCTCCCTCAGCTGCCCATGATCTTTATGAGTTCTGAATCAGAGGAACGGCCTTTCAGGTTTTTCCACCACTTGCCTTTGCCCATCCAGTCATAAATCACTGTACAGGCACAAGAGCTGTGAGCAAGCCGTCCTGGCTCCCAAGTAGTCTGTGGGTTGATGTGGAGTGCCGTCAGGCTGGGCAGTGCTACGGGATTGCGGGAGCCGTGTATAGCCTGGGTCCAGGGCACCTGGTGCTGGCTGTGTCCTGGGGTGCAATGTTGCTGTGACCTCCTCCCTCTCGGCACCTCTGCAGTGGGAGGGCTGCAAGACCCGCAGTGAAGCTCGCTGCCTCCAGCGATGAGTCTGTGGCTGGTCTGCCTGTTCCCTCCCCCTGTTGCAGTTGGTGCTCCGGAGAATCGTGTCAGGCACTCACTGCTTATCTCCTGCTCCTAGAATCCAGCTCTGCTAACTAACCACTGGGAGCATCCGCCCCTGTTCCAGCCTGTGGCAGTAGCTCCATGGGTATTCACAGTAAGCATGAGGATGGATAAACAGCTCACCCCAGGCCTTCCACACTGACCTACCGCCCAGCCCACCCTTATCTTTTATTTTGATCAAGGGTCACTAAACTGTTAAGTTGCCGAGGCTGGGTCCTGCCACCATCCTCTGGGCCACCACCATGCCTGGCTTTGGCGCTATCTTTGTGTCCACCCCTGCTCCTCTCCAGTTCAACCTGGTCACTCTGACCAGGGCTGCTTCCGCCCGAGGCTGTCTGTCTCTCCCTGGCCCTTGGGCCTCATGCTCAGGCCCAGATGGGAGGAGTTTGGTGACACCCAGGAGCTTTGCATGAGCTAGGGTGTTGGGTTGGATCTGGCAGGCCAGGGAATCTTTGGTGGCACTGGGGATGGAATCCAGGGCTTTTGCATTGAGCTATATTCCCAGCGCATTTTAAAAACTGTTATTTTGAGGTAGTGTTTTGCTACCTCAGTAAGCTGCCCAGGCTGGGCTCAAACTTTGGATCCTCCTGCCTCAGCCTCCAGTGAGGCCATGAGGCTGGGTTGCTTTGCTCTGCTTCCTGGCTCCTGTGCGTGCACTGAACCCTGACCAAGGCCACTGAGCTTTGTGACCCTGAGAAACAAGCCTCACCTCCCCGTAGAGCCCATACACCTCCACACTGCATCATGAGGGAGGGGACCCCCGAGAATGACAGTGACGTGACTTCCTGTACCCTCATTTGACTGTCGCCCTTGCCTCAGGATGGGGTCAGGCAGAGGAGCTGGGGCCACCTGGGGACTCAAGTGCATCTCGCAGTGCCCAGGGCCCTGCCGGGTGTGGGTGCTCAGAGAGGGTGAAGGTGTGCGGCCCCTGGAGTGGAGGTCTGTCCGTCCTCAATGGCAGGTGTCCCTTTTGCTGCTCCCCGGGGCCCCATGCCCAGCACCTCATGGAAGTGATGCTGGGGGCCAGGCAGGCACAGCCCTGGCCCAGTGGTGGGGAACGGCGTCCTATCTACATTGCACAGGGCCGAAAGATGCCACACCCACACCATTCAGGCTGGGCCTCAGCCACAGCGGCTGGCAGGGGAGCGTCCTGGGGTCTAGGTGGGGGCTGAAGTCTCTTCCCATGTCCTTCTGCCTTTCTTGAGACAGTTTTCCTGCGAAGTGGAAGTAACACAACGTGGGGAAGGCATGTGCGGTGTTGCAGAAAATCCCAAACTCAGGAGAACATGTTTCATGGAACCATTCCGGTTTGTTCTGCAGCTCAGTTTGAAAAGAATTCATGACATATTCTGGCCATCTTCTCCAGGCAGGGCGGCGAGACCTACCCCATGTGAATAAATTGCTTTTATTAGTTCATATCTGTAGTGCAAGACGCTCACACGCCTGTGTGGAGTTGGTGCACGTGTGCCACACCTCTTAGCTCCTTTTTTCATCGTCCCCCATCCCCCTTCTCTGGACCCCCTGCCCCTGGAAAGATCGACCTCCCTACTTCCTGTTATCTGTCTTAGTTTGCTCTATTTATAGTTTGGGGCTCTCATAGAAGGGAAGCCATGCGGTGCTGAAGCTGATGTGTTTATCTCCCCTAACATGGTGGTCTCAAACCGCATCTGTTTTCAAACTGCAGCCGTCCTGTTGTGCACAGCCTCTGTGCAAACATTCACTCCCTGCTGACCCATTTTACTTAAGATAACTGCTCGGACCTTGAGAGCCATTGCTGGAACTCCAAGGCTGGTCAGGTATTATGTCTGTGTGGATTTGGACTTGACGTCCCCAAACCATTTCTTCTTTATACCAAAGAATTTTCTGTAAATTTCTGTAAAAAGTTATGTACTACTAGTATTTACTCACAAATGCTTTCTGTGGTTCTGATTGTTAGTGGCATTTATACCACTTCTAAGGCATTAGTCTTTGGTTATCTGTTCCATCCATTCAAGCAAATAACGTGCGTGAGAACATAGACTGTGTTTTAATAATAAGGACTCTGAAGCCTTGGGCCTGCCCTCCTGTGGCCCAGGTCCAGATGATTTCTGGGTGGCACTGGTGATGGAACCTGGGGCCCTGCACGCAGGAGCCCACCATGTCTGCAGCCACCCGGGCCCCTGTGATCCAGCACAAGCCCTGCAACGCCCGCAGAGTCGGCCCCTCCGTTCCTTAGCAGGAAGAGGAGCGCAGGCCTGCAGGATCCACTTCTCAGCAGGGCAGTGTCTCCGGTGGTACGGCCTCCATCCAGGTCACTGTCACACGATGTCCCTGACTAGGAATCCACAGAGTGCAGAGGCCAGGGTCGGCGGGCCAGGATGCCCGTTCACAACCTTCTGATCCATGCTCTGCTCATTAGCACCCCAATGGTCTCATCGTACATAGGCAGCTGCCAGCAAGCAATGCGCAGGCTTCTCAATGTCTCCAGCCAGCTTCTCCTCAGGGAGCAGCACCCTCAGCACGACCATCTGGGCTCCGGAAGGTGAGAGGTGCCCAGAGAGCCCACCTGTCTGGCTGTTCTGAGCAGTACCTCCGCTATGCAGGGATGCGGCCGGTCGCTCCCTCCCGTGAACACTCACTGCCTTCCGCGCATCTGGTTTGCACCCAGGAGGATCGGTGCCCATGGCAGGCAGGTGGGAAATGAAGCTGAGCTGGTATGGTGGCACCTCAGCCCTCCGTGAGGTTGAGGCAGGAGGATCTCATATTTAAGAACAGCCTGGGAAATTGAGCAATTTAGTGAGACTCTGTCCTAAGATTTAAAAAAATGAAAGAAATGGAAGAAAAAAGAGAGCTGGGTATTAGGAACTGAGGAAGAGATAGTGGCAGAGCAGAATGAGAGCCCTTCGCAAGCTCGGCTTAGGAAAGATAGCAGTGAATGAGGGAAATTAACCCTTGGCCCCGGACCGCACCAGTGCCACAGGGGCCCGGCAGGCCTGGGTGTGGCTGGCTTCAGAGTGTGGGCCAGGAGGGCAAAGGTGCTGGAGGCAGCGCTTGGTCCAGGTGGACCCAGGCTGAGCCCAGGAGCCAGCGTTCAAGGCTTATATGGGCGGGAAGGGCACGGCGGTGGCGGGCAGAGCGCATGTTCAGTGAGTAAACAGACTCGTTCCCAAAACCGGTGAGCAGAGCATTTTCAGCAAGCAAGCGAGACCCGCGAGACCCCTGAGATCGTCCACAGCGCTTTGCTGCTCATTCACAGCTATGATCACTGCGAACCCTGCGTTACTTTTTCTTAGGGGGGATACACAATGCTTATTAGAATATTTCCTTCTTAACTTCTCTGAAATGCAAATCTTATAGGTGAGATTTTGAGTCTTTTGCCCACTGAAAAATTCTCCAGTCTGGAGCTTTTCAAAGTCCAACCCCAACCGAGTTCGGTGGTACACACCTATAATCTCTAAACCCTAGAAGGCTGAGGCAGGCGGACCACAGGTTCTAGCCCAGCCTGTGCAATTTAGTCCCCACAATTTGTCTCAAAATAGGAAATAAAAAAGGGCTGGGCTCTATTTCAGTGTGAAGGCCTAGGCTCTATCTCCAGTACTGTGTACACCAAAACTAAATGAAAGGAAAGGAAACAACCCAACCCCAGTGTCGGAGGAGAGTTATGCTTTATGGATGGTTGGTAGTAACGTCAAAAAGATGCAGCGACTAAAAATTAGGCCTGGGTATCAAGAAACAGCAAAGTAACTTTTGCCATGTGGAGTTAGTTTAACACAGAAACCAGCAGCTCTCACTCCCGTGTGGTAGCCTGGCTTGAGCAGGAAGATCCACTGGGCCGCCTGCTGCCATCCGCTTTCACAACCTTCAGGGAACTTGACCGCTCGCTGTCCCCTGCATGTCTCAGCCTCCCCAGCATGTCCCGGCACCGCAGCAGCTGGGGAACCAC